ATATAATTTTTTTTTTTTTTTTTTACAAATTCCCTGGGGTGCCACCACATGATAGCTACCATGATCACATGACCATAGTTCATCCACAAATGAAAATTCTGTCATCATTTACTCATCTTTATGTTTTCCTAATATGTATGACTAGCTGTCTACTGTGGAACCCAAAATAAAAATGTCTCCGTACAATAAAAGATTGTATTTCATTAAAATGAATGAAATAATGACAACTTCTGAAAACCTTTCCTTTTAAAAGGGGAGGAAATGTCAGAGAATTTCTACCTCATCCTCATTATATTCTGATGGCGGATTGTATCTACTATGAGCAGGTACTGTACCAATGAATATTACACAATACTTTATTTACTTTTCTTACATCTAAAACCTTTGTTACCAATACAGCAATAGTTAGCTCTGCAGTAGAGAATAGTTAACAGTACTAGGTTTAATAGCCTCAGTCAGTAATATTATTTAATATTTAATATTCCACAGTCAGTGGAACCACTAGTAGAGACTCTGAAACTCTTGGCTGGACCAGAGACGTGTATCATCTGTTGCTTTGAGCAACGCACTGTTGGTGTCAATCCCGAGATAGAGAAGAGATTCTTTGAGGTAAGAGAATCAAACTGTAAAACTCTAAGGGTGCATTCACACTTTCTCTTGGTTCTCTCGGTTCGTTTGGTCCAGACCAAAAAAAGAAAACAATACATTTGGTCCTGGTCCACTTAGCATTCACACTGGCATTTATGACCGCAAACCTAAAGATACCGAACCTAAAGGCATAGTGATACGTTCACAACCTGATTGGTCAGGTTCAATGATTTATATTTCGTGATGGAACACACCCAAACAAAAGGTGTGTTCGACTTAAAGTGGCGCTGTGCAGACCGATCGTTGTAAGACATCAAAGTACCCATTCACCGATCGGTCTGCGCAGCGCCGCTTTAAATCGAACACCCCTAATGCCGTCTGCTAGACTAAGCGTGCTCAATGCTGCGTGTGAACTTATGATTTTATTTTTACCACCTGCAAACTCACGAAGAGCTCATAAAAGGCACTTTACCTCCTCGTTGCTCCACATTTGCCCTCTGCTCATTTAATTTTGGATATATCACTCGTTCCGCGTCACGTTGCATAGCATCGCATCTTGTCATTACTTCCTGTTTTTAGTTCGTTTAGAAGTGTTTGGTCCTTGATGCGTTCATATTTCATTCAAATCGCACCAGAGTTAGTTTGGAAGCGGACCGAGACCCATCTTTTTAACGGTCTCAGTCTGCTTATTTGGTGCACACCAGGGTTCGGATGGCAGCGTTCACACTTACACAAATGAACCGCACTAACAGAGCAATCGCACCAGAGTTCATTTTAATCGAACCAAACATGACAAGTGTGAACACACCCTAAATCTTCACTTTGTCATATTTAGTGGCACAAGTTAATGAGAGTGTGTTTGACCTGTTGGTCCTTTTGCTCCAAGTAATGGTAGATTTTATATATTTGTTGTATGAGTAAAAACCCAATTAAATGCATCCCCATGCTGAATCTGCTATGGTCTTTTCCCTCATGTAATACTCTTTCACAGCTACTTCTGCAAGAATTCCAGTCAGAGATGATCCCATCTGAGAAAAAAGACCCTGAGTTCAACAGTCCTGACATTCACATTCTCCACCTGCGACGAAGAGTCCACTGAATGCCTTATGAGCTCTTCTGTTTGGGTTGTATGTGTTTGTGTTTCAGTGGATTGTGTTGTTGTTAGTCAGATGTTCAACACTGAACAATATGAACTATTTTAAAGTGCTTATTATGTGGTTTGGGACGTTGGCCTTAATGTGAGCTTAAGTGTCTAGTTAAAGTGAATGGTTGTGTGCACCTGTGTTAAACTGGAAAAAAATAAATCTCAAATGTGTTTTTTTTTACATACCGATTAAGAGAATGTTAACCTGAGTGTGATCTGTAAATAAACACTTTCTAAAATGATCAAAAAGTAAGCATGTGATTTGTGTTGTTTCAGCCTCTTTTACAGGAGGATCAGTTTTGTCCATTGTCATTCTGCGTCACTGAATGCATTACTTTAGGGATGGCAAAGTTGTGGTTGCAGTTTACAGTAGAGATGTTTATGATTAGTAGAATCTTTTCATAATTTCTTAAAACTTAAGTAACTAAAGAGCTACATCTGGACTCAGACATACTTTGAAATTTCTTATGAAATTCAGGGAAAAGTAATACATTTAGAAATTGCTGTTGAGATTTAAAGCATCTGTTTATTTAATTATTAGATTCTTCATAATGTTTTTTTATTTAAACATTTAGGTCCTTTACAATTTCTCCTTTGAGTTTTGTGTAATTCAGTGATTCCAACTTGGAAACATTTTTATTTTTATTTGTTAAATCTATAAAATACAAATTATGGCTTTAAAATAAACAGTTTAGGAATTTATTTTATTGTGAAAAGTATACAGTTAAAGTACAGTACTGTGCAAAAGTCTTAGGCCATTAGTATTAGTAAAGAAATCTTTTCGCTGTAGTGTGACAGTAGGAAATATCAGTTTACATTTCCAAACATTTCTTTTGCCATTGTAGTAATCCAATTAGGTTTTTGTTAGCACAAGGAGTCTGACAACAGCCAGTGATCCACACAGAGATCTGATGATCTCACCATCAACCAGTCTGTCTGGAATTACATGAAAAAACAGGAAAAACAAAGCCAGACTAAATCCAGAAGAAGTGTAAACGTCTCCAAGATGCTTGAAGATACCTACCTGCAAAGCCACAGTACTGTGAAAAGTTAAGCACTTAACTGTAAAAATACTGTAAAGTGAGGGTGCTTTCAAAAATGTCAAATAGATTTTATCAGTTAACTTCTATTAACTAAATCAAATCAACATTTGGTGTGACCAACCTTTGTGTTTAAAATGGCTTTTGCCAGGTGCACTTGCGCATAGTTTTTCGGGTAGATTTGCAGGTAGGCTTCTTCAAGCATCTTGGAGACGTTGACAGTTCTTCTGGATTTAGTCTGTTTCTGTTTCTTCATGTAATCCCAAACGAACTGGATGATGGTGAGATCACCAGATCTCTGTGGAGCACTGGCTGTTGTCAGACTCCTTGTGCACACAAAAAGGCATTATCACTGCATTATTCCAATTAATGACAAAAGAAATGTAAACTGATATTTATACTGACACACTACAGCAAAAGATAGAAATAAGACTTAAAACCATTTTTTGTTGGTGAAAATACAAATGGCCTAAGACTTCTGCACAGTAGTGTACAAACCCGATTCCTTTTGGAATGTGTAGCTCTCATGAAATCCAAAATGAGCCAATATTTGGCATGACATTTCAAAATGTCTCACTTTCAACATTTGATATGTTATCTATATTCTATTGTGAATAAAATATAAGTTTATGAGATTTGTAAATTATTCCATTCCTTTTTTACTCACAATTTGTACAGTGTCCCAACTTTTTTTGGAATTGGGTTTGTATATATATACTGTATATATATTTGGGATAGTTTTGGGATAAAAATGCTAATAGGACTTAGCATTTTTTAGCTGTGTTTTGCTGTGCCAAAATGATAGTGGAGTCAATATCAGGAACTTGTCCAAATGCTAATAATAATGCTGAACAGATTCTGTATTCTTCAACTGATTCTACTTCGGACCACCTGATCTTACCTGGTATCCCCCCTTCTACTCAAATATGACATTGATTTAAAATAATGCATGGACTGAATTAAGTGGTGTTATGTGGGAACGTGACAGAGGACTGTGAAGAGATCAATCGTTTGAGCTTCTAATTTCATGATCTCATATACTGTAAATTTAACTTTTTTTAAGGATTAGTTAGATGCAGGTTCTTCATTAAATCTTAATTATATAAACAGTATTTACTGGTTTACCAACATTCTATGTTCCAACTTGGGGCTATATTTGGTGGAAATTACTGTTACACAATTTACAGGTGGGAGGAAAAACCTTTTACACATAACACTGCACCCTTTTCTAAAAACAGCATTCGGTCAGAACAGAATACCAGAGCCTAGGGCAGTACAAAGAGAATAAGTCGAAAGAGAAGACTGCTCATTTAGGTGAACTCCCGGAGTTGTCATTGTATCTGGGAAGGTAAAGTATATCATTTATATCTTTAGAATTGAGTTTAACTTCTAATTATAAGTGAGAATTATAAGTGTCATCTCGCCAGACGTGACACCTTTATCTGTTTTTCGTTGTAGTTTATCATTAGAAACAGACTTTTGCAACTGAAGAAAAAAAATGCCTCCACCTCGTTTGAATCACCAAAATCTCAGGAATGAATCCACCGCAAAAGACAAAACAGGCACTCTCGACATCCCTGTGAAATTCTTGGATCAGGACTACCAGGAGCTGCGGAAGAGCTGTATCACCAATAAAAAGAGATTTGTTGATGACAAGTTCCTTCCAGACAGCAGCTCCATTGACCCAAAGAAGAAACTTAAACTGGATCTGGACCAAATCAAGTGGTTGAGGCCATCAGTAAGTTACCTGTATTGACTTTCTATCTTCAGACTTTCAGTAACTTTCAAAAAGAGTTCAAAGTACACAGGCATTATTGCTTGAAGGAATTCAAACGAACTTGTTGAAAATAACCTGCCATCAAGTGTTGCAAAATGTTTCTTTGGGCTTGTCAGAACAGGTTCACTATTGTGGCAAGACATCTCAAGTGTCATGAAACCAGACCCAAAGTACATTCTATGAGAAAATGTCGTCTTCTGGTATTCATAAATCCCTAGGCTGAATATTATTGCATAATTTATTTATTTTCTCTCTTTAGAACATAGTGGCAGATCCTCAGCTCATTGTAAAGGAGGTGTCCAGGTTTGACTATTCCCAAGGGTCTTATTTAGGTATGTTTAATTATGTATTTATTTAGTAGGCTCTGGCTTTTAAATGATACCAACCCAATAAATAATGTCACTGTATATACACCAAAAATACTTATGAACTCATTGAAATATCTATTTCTTTAATATTTGTGCCTTTACCTCAGGAAACTGCTGGTTTCTTGCTTCAGTTGGGGCTTTAACATTTCAGAAGGACATCATGGACCAGGTCATGCCAGCTGACCAGTCATTTGGCAAATATTATGCAGGGATATTTCAATTCAGAGTAATTTGGTCTTTTTCAACATAATTTGAATACATTTTTGTTTTAAATCACGTATCAGTCATTAAGCCTTATGTTCTGTATATTCTTAGTTCTGGAGGTTTGGCAAATGGATTGAAGTTGTCATTGATGACAAACTGCCAACAATTAATGGAAAGCTCATTTTTGTTCATTCAAAAACATCTAATGAGTTTTGGCCTGCCTTACTGGAGAAAGCGTATGCCAAGTAGGTGCCAGTATGTTGTGGAAAAAATATTTTAATTTCCATTGAACATAAAAATATGCTTTTACCATAAGAGTTTATGACCCTTATTATATGTTTCGTGTGTATCACATTAGAATTGAATCCCTAAGAATCCAACATTATAAGCATGTTTGCAATGCCTTTTACAGGGTGTGCGGCTCCTATGCTGACATGCATGCTGGTAGTGTATCTGAGGCTCTGTTGGACTTCACCGGTGGTGTCCATGTGTACTTCAAACTGAAAAAAACTTCCACTGATTTGTGGAGCCTGATGGATCGTGCAGCCAAAGCAAAGGCCCTGATGGGTTGCAGCACTTCTCAAGGGGTGAGCAGTTCCAGTGTCCTCAGACTGAAGCTTTCATTATTGTGACATATGAATTAAATATAAACAACAGTAAGGAACAATGCAGGGCACTGGTTATACGTAAAACCATATTTATCTCTGTGTCATTACTGAAATATTATTTTTTATCTATATATATATATATATATTTTTCATATATCAGGACACATCTGCAAACACAGTATTACCCAATGGTATCGTTCAAGGCCATGCATATACAGTGACAGAGGTTTTCGAGGTAAGTCTGCACAGAATTAAATGTCATGTAATTAAGAGCTCAGTGTGGGGAGAAATACAAATACTTTGTCTCCCGGTGCAAATTCCCATAGCTGAGTTCCCCTGTTATACAGCCGGCTTTTGATGTTCCTGGGTCTGGAGCGGATTCTCCTGTTTTAGTCATGCCAGGGTATGGAGCTTTGCTCTCACGTCCAGCAATTATTGAATTTTGTTCTTGAAAGTCCCTCCACCCAATTCTCTTTAAGGATGTCAAGCACACAACACAGTCAACATCCATAGAGCAGCTTGAATGGGTAAAACCCAGTGGAAGCTTGAAGAACCTGTGAATAGCGAGCTCAAGCCACATCCCAAGTTCTAACTTCCTCTTGAACTTACAAATCATATATTCATGTCTGATTAATTTGTTCAACCAACCCATCAATTTGGGGAAGGTGAATGCTTGTATGAATCAACTTAATTCCAAACAATTCAAAGATTCATACAGTCAATTCATTCAAATGGTCCTCAACCAGCTGAACTGCCTGCTCTAGTAACGTCGAGTGATGAGACTGGACCCCTTCCGCCATTTGTTCTGAAAGTTGTGGGGTAAATCATTCCAGCACCACCAGGTCAATTATTGCCACCACGTTGCGTGACTCTGTCAGCGAAAGTCCAGGCATCCTGGAGCCATTGAGTGTAGGCAAATGGGTGGCCGCTTTCTATGAAGGCTAGGGATCGGTACTTCTGTCAGTGTTGTTCTGGGCTGCAAGGGGCCCACCCATTACAGGATAGCTCTTTTGAAGTCATCATATGCCAGGAGGATCCCCACCAGCAATTGTTGGTCCACCAGTTGGGCTTCCCCAGACAGAAGCATGATCAGAGTCTGCTTGAGGAAGGTCTCTCCATCATCCTGAGGCCCTATCTTCAACATGATCATATGTGAAATGGGGACGACTCCCCTCCTGGTTTATTCAGCTTCTCCTCATGAGCAGGGAGAACTATACACAATCTTTCCTTCTGCTTTGTGCACAGCTCAATGAGGGCTTGGTAATGTTTCTGGTGGATGCCAGAAACAAATGAACAAAAGGTGCTATTCAACAGGAAATATCAGGCTCAAGTTCTGGAGCACACTCTTGTGACTGGCGATCACCTCCCTCCTTCTCCTCGAGAAAAGATGTGAGCTGTGTCCCAATTCAGAGGCTGCACTTTTCGAAGCCTGCATTCTAAGACTGACTGCATCAGTGCAGGCTCCTTCAAATGTGGCCTTGAAATGCGTCTTTCGCATAGAGTTTAGAGTTTATACTCTATATTATGTACAGAATGGACCAAGGTGAGCATATTTAGACAAGCTGTGAACCCTGTATTGTTTTCAGATAGTAAAATATAACTTTCAAAAATGTCCAGTACAAATGTTACTGTCGCTCGTCAATGGCAGCTGTCACAGTTGCTAGGTGAAAAGATTAATCCTCAGTTGGCTAGACTGTCCAGTTTAAACAAGGCTTGGTCATACCTTCATTCAGGGGTGACCTTTGAAGTCCTTGTCCTTCAAAGGATTCAGCCTCTGAAAAATGGACTGTTTACATCTTTTTAGAGCTGCATTTCAGCAGAATTTAATTTTGTTTTCATTATTGAAACATTTTTTTCTGCTTTGACACCATCTGTATTGTATAAAGCCCTATATAAATAATGGTGACTTGACTTAACAGTATTTATTGTGACATTCTACAGAAATGTAATGAGCCTACATTAAGGGTTTATAGACTTTCATACTGAAAGTATGTGCATTTGACAGGTTGCATGCCAAGGAGAACCAGTAAGGCTGGTGAGAGTGTTGAATCCATGGGGAAAAGGCGAGTGGAACGGTGCCTGGAGTGACAAGTAAGAGTCACATGAAACTACAGGCTTACTGACAGCATTGACGTATCAAGTGTCATTGTTTATTTAAAACACAAATAGATTAATCATTACTATATTAAATCAAATTCTTGAAGAGGTTTGAGAGTTACTTAGAGAGTACTTAATTTGCTAGTATTCGAAACAAGGTTTTGTAAACAAAGGTAGCTTACAAACATTAGTGCAGCATCCCAGTCTGCCTACTATACTAAGCTCTAAAAATATGTGCTCTTTTATTTTTATTTATTTATTTGGATGTGTTGCAGAAGAGTAGGCTAGTTTTGTCATACTGTACACTATCACATTGCAAAAACATTTTTTGCATAGCTATTACTGGAATCCACATTAAATTTAATTTCATGCTTACTGCGGACCTGTTTAAGCAACTCACCGATTCTTCCTACCATATTGGAATTTCTGAATCCATATTCATATTGGATTACTGAATCGATTCCCTCTCCAAAGAGCAAGAGGTTGTGTGCTATATTATTTGCCATTAAAGTGTGCATGGAAAAAGTAGAACATCCTGGAACCTTTGGGTTACTAATTTCAGCATACTATAATTTGTGCAGCGTCGGTGCCATGAGGGGGCCTCAGGGGGCCCAGCCCTGCCACCTCGGTCACTGTGCCCCCTCACCTTTGGTGCCATCTCGGTAGTGGGTGCCCTGATTTAAGTCTGTGAGGCAGGCTACTGCCCTGGGAAGATCTCCCACTCAGAAATACGAGATGGGGAGTAGGTGGGTGTAGGCTGACAAATACATGGATTAAAAGCTAAACAAAATTTCGGTTCGTTCTTAGCAAAACTTTTTTTTTTTCATTCAGGTTCCAAAGCGAAATAAGAACAGAACAGTGTTCGCTTTATAAAGAATTCGAATAATCTTTGCTAATATTCTTGAATCTTCAAACTGCTAACACTTTCGAATTATGCCTTCATTGTATGACCAAAAATGACGAAATATTTTGTTTCAGCTGTTTGATCGTGCCAGCTCCTCACGCGCACACTATATATTCATTGCAAACAGCGCAGCCTGTTCGTTATCAAAATAAAATACAGTCACCCAAACATATAAAAAGTTATAAAAGCATGAGCACTGGTCCACTGTGGCAAATGTATGCTCATTATGATTTTTTCCGTCAATATTGGGACGCGCATGAAGTACAAATCCTAGTTTACCTAATAAATAATAGTTTCGCTTCAAATATATTGCGAATATGGAAATATTTGGATTTGTGACAAATAAAGGTAGGCTACGTGAGCCCAACTTTACTTTCAGTTTAGCTTTAAATGAATTAGTTTGGCGTGTTTATAGATCGTTTGCACTTGGTCAGTTTGGTCAGTTACCCGGATCCGCGGCCATATTGGAGATACTCGGATGGAAACAACAGCATGGATTGCACCCTATAGCTAGGCCTATATTATTATATTATATACTGCAATTATATTTATTCATTAGAAATGAATAAATTATATATTTTTAATTCTTGTTCTGTTGTGAATACGGTTAAGTTTAAAGGATTTGTTGTGGAGTGAGGGGAACTAAAATAGACTATAGTGTTTATGGTTACACTTTACTTGAAGGGGTGTGCATAAGACTGACATGACACCTTCATAATCATGACATGACACCTACATAATCAAGACATGACACATGTCATGAATATGAAGGTTTTTTATATATGTTTATGACAACTGTCATTAAGTGTCATTTGCTCAGTTATGTAATTTTTAATGCAAAGATTACATTGTTTGAGATGTCTTTGTTATGGGCTATGGTTAGGGGGAAGGGGACGGGTAGGGTTAGGTTAGGGTTAGGTCAAATAATGTCATCTTTGCATTAAAAATGACATAACTGAGCGAATGACACTTAATGACAGTTGTCATAAACATGCATAAAACCTCCTTCATATTCATGATATGTGTCATGTCATGATTATGAAGGTGTCATGTCAGTCTTATGCACACCCCTTCAAGTAAAGTGTTACCATGTTTATATTGTTGGTTAATTGTAACATTACACTTTAGGCCTAACGGTATTATTTCTGAATGTAATAAAATGTGACTTATGAGTGACTTATCTGTTTTATTTTCCTCTCAAAAACGTAAACTATATATTTAGCGTGTTTTTTTTTAAACTTGCAGCAAACGAAAGTAGGAGATGAATCGGTTAAAAATTCTTACTGTCGGTTAACAAATTTACATTCGTTTTCTTATGCTTGGCTTCCCAGATGCTGGGCCAAATCTGGCGTTCGACACTTCTGGCTTCATTCTGGTCTTTATTGCAAATGTTTGTGGTTTTTAAAAAATGTGTTATTTGTATAGATTCTGACAATTAAAACTAAAATCAGGCTAGTGTATTAATGACATCAGTTACTACTTTCCTTGTCTAGAAAGGGAAGTAACTTAAAATGTTATTTATGTGTTGTACTTTTCATATTTTTAGTAGCTATTTACCATTTTGGGTCTATAATAGGTTTAGCTTGCTAACATTTACTAGATGGGTCATTACTACTATACAATACATCTTCATGTCCCATCATATATGTATTATATTGGATAAAATATTAAAGCGGTCATAACACACACCCGGTTTCTGCCAATCTCATATTAATCTTGAGTACCTAAATGCATCCTTTATATCTCCGAAGAGTCTTTATTTTTTATCAGATTTATAAAAGAAATATACAGCTTTACGGCTTCTCTCCGAAAACAGTAGAGCTCCTGGAGGCGTGCCGTGGGCGGAGCCAAAGAGTCACAAGCACACAAAGCTTTTGCCTACTAATAGTCTGCAGGCTGTGAAATCAACATAAAACAGGAACAAAAAATAAATTTAAAAATCGGGTTCCCGACGACTTCCGTAACCCAAATGAAGCATGTTGATGGGCTGCTCTTGCTCTCTCTCTGGTTGATCTGTGTGCCGCTCTTCTGGAAGAAGTGCTCATACAAAACAAATCCGCCCTTAATGACGTCATACAGGGCCATACTTGGAAAAAAAACTTTCTGAAACTTAAACAAACTTTAAAAGTCCCCTTTAAGCTCACAATTGTTCAATCACTAAATTATTGATTTCTTTTATATCATAATACATTTTTTACATGTCATGTCCGCGCACTTCTTCCACCGCGGCCTCACAGAAGAAATAATGTGCCGCGCACATGCATAAATGAGTTGGGAAAGCCATTTGCGAAAGCGAATGAATTGCAATGCTTGGGAAAACCGCAATAGAGTTGATATCGTTATAGAGTTAGAACCGGTGAATGCGGTTTACAGGGTTCATAGAAAGAGAATGATGTGCGCCAAATGAGTCGCTGTAGAAACCGAATATTTTAATGGTTGCGGACGAAATAGCTCAAATCGAGAATGTATTAAAGAAGAGTGTCTTGATTAAGTGCTGGAAATAGTGGATGATGGGCACAGAACGGTTACAAAACTAAGAGACATTTACAGCCACACACAGGTGTATTGTGCAAACTGCACTTCATAGGGATGTTTAGATAGCTATAGAAGAATTCACGTTCACGATTTTTTAAATATTTAACTTACAGATCTCAGTTCAAATGCTTCAGTTTGTTCTCTATTTTATTCTATTCTATTCTATCAGTTTAAATGCTTCAGTTTGTTTTGATATTATATTATGTTAGGCCCATATTATAAACCTAATAAATAATTGACCTTGTTTTTTAATAGAGTCTCTTATGCTCATCAAGGATGTATTTATTTGATCAAAAATACAGAAAAAAACAGTAATATTGTGAAACATTATTGCAATTTCTAATATTGGTTTCCTATTTTAATATACTTTAAAATATAATTTATTCCCGTGAAGCAAAGCAGAATTTTCAGCATCATTACTCCAGGCTTCAGTGTCACATGATCCTTCAGAAATCATTCTAATATGCTGATTTATTATCAGTGTTGAAACTGTTGTGCTAATATATATATATTTTTTGGAACTTGTGATACTTTTTCTTTGATTTAATAAAAAGTTAAAAAGAACAGCATTTATTCAAAATAGAAATCTTTTCTAAAAAATACAAGTTTTTACTATCACTTTTTATCCATTTAACACATTCATGCTGAATGAAAGTATATATATTTTTAAACATTGAATAGTAGTGTATATTGTGACACATATTTTCTATTTTGAAGAAACACTGTTCTTTTTAACATTTTATTTATCAAAGAATCCAGAAAAATATCACAGATCCCCAAAATAATATTAAGCAACACAACTGTTTCCAACACTGATAATAAATCAGCATATTAGAATGATTTCTGAAGGATCATGTGATCAAAGTATATTCAAATAGAAAACTTTTATTTTAAATTGCAATAATATTTCACAATATTATTTTGTGAAATAATATTCAGTATTTTTATTAAATAGATACAGCCTTGATGAGCAACTTCTTTAATAAACATTATTGATCCCAAACTTTTGAATGGCAGTGTATTATACTGTAAAAAAAAATTCTCAGGTAACCTAAAATGTACATCATTTAGTCACAGGTCAAATTAAATACAAATAGCACATTAAAGTTAAAAGTTACACACTTTTTTGTGTGCGCGCTGTACAGGTCTGCTATAAAGATTGTTTTTGCTCAGGTGACCATAATGTCCGCCCAATAGAGAAAAGTTTTGCTCAGCAAGAAAAAAATTAGAGGGAACATTGGTCATATCCACACATTCTAAAATTTATTTTTAAATATTCTGTTATTTTTTATTTTGTTATTGAAAATTATAATAAGAAATAATTGGTAATCCGTTTATAATAGTTTTTTTTCCTTGTATGTTTTCAATATAGATTTGGAGTCCTGTTAAAAGGCGTTCACACTAACTGTTTGTTGTTTTGTTTGCACAAGTCATATCACCAATATTCATACCACCAGCATTCGCCTGTCAACAAAAGGCAGCTTTTGTTGTCTTTTGTTTACAGGTTGCCTTTGTCAGTCTTTTGTAATAGGCTGTCTCTTTATAATGAACAAAAGCCAGTTCTTCAGTGTCGTCATAGGAAATTACGTCATTGTTTTTGGTAGGGAAAAAAGAACAAAAGCACAAACATCATACTTTAAAAAGAAAAAAATATATATTTATGTGATGTTTTGTGGCATGGTCACTGTAAAACATTCCAGTCTGCTAAAATGAAAACAGTCTTTATTATAATATAAACATTTAAATAGATGGTTATTATTAAAGTTGACTTTAAACTGACACACTCATCTAAGCTAACTCTCAGTCCATCAATCCTTGCTGTACAGTTGTTAACTTTTGCTATTTATTTTCATCCTTTTTGGCATCTTGTCTATTTTCATGCTATTGAAAAGTCACTTACAGAGAAATACTTCCTTAAATTACTGCATAAATATATTCAGTTTCAAAGATATCATTTTATTTCCAGTGATATATCCCTGGTAGAGAATATACTGTCAGTCATACACTCTTAAAAATAAAGGTGCTTCACGATGCCATAGAAGAACCTTTTTGCCCAAATGGTTCCATAAAGAACCTTTAACATCTGAAGAACCTTTCTGTTTCTTTGTGGTGAAAGAAGGTTCTTCAGGTTATAAAAAGGTAAGAAAGAGATGGTTCTTTAAAGAACCTTTGACTGAATGGTTCTTTGTGGAACCAAAAATGGTTCTTCTATAGCATCGCTTGAAGAACCTTTTGAAGCACCTTTATTTTTAAGAGTGTACCACTGGATTGAGTTATCTGCACAGCCAATATGATTATGCTATAACAAAACCCAATGTATTATTGTAATATATGCTTTTGCATAATTTTCAGGTCTTCATTATGGAACAATGTGAGTGAAAGTGACCAATCCAAATGTCGTTCTTTGGCCATTGACGGAGAGTTCTGGTAGGCATTAACTGTAGTTTCAGATTGATCTTTTGCTGCATTAAACATGAATCAAATGTTTTCAGTAACACATATTTTACTGTAGGATGTCAATGGAGGACTTCACTGAAAACTTTAGGGCCATTGATATTTGCTGCCTCAGTCCTGATTTTCTGGACAGTTCCTCTAAATGCAGATGGACTTCCACATGCTATTACAGCAGCTGGGATGCTGGGACTACAGCTGGTGGCCGTCCCAGTAATAAAGGTACGTAATATCTACAGTGAGAGTGAGTGAAATCTTAATATGTTGAGGACCTTAATAATGTTGAGAACCATTAAATAATATTACAAATAATTAAACATATTTGTGTAGTGTTTGGGTGTCTACATACTTTTGGCCATTTAGTGTGTATATGTGTAAGACACAGGTCTGATTCTCTGGATGTGTTTTAGAGACTTTCTGGACAAACCCTCAGTTTCGGGTGAGGATTGAGGAGCTCGATGAGGAATGTGCTAGTGGCCAGTGTCCTGAAAACATACTGGTGTCCCTCATGCAGATCCATGAGAACAGATACAGAAGTCTTGTTTCTAACTACGCCATTGGCTTCAGTGTTTTTGTGGTCAGTAACAGAAGTCAAAGAATATAACTATTTTGGTTTCCACTTATTAATGGTGTGTTATTATTCTATTTTCTACTTTAACAGATACCACTAGAGGCAAGTAAAATCTAATGCACAAATATTTATTTAATTACTCTATTAACTATTTTTAGCTCTAAATAAAGTGATTGCTTGAATACAAGTTTATATTTCATTCTCCTTTAGATGAAAGATGAGAAGTTCCCAGCCAAGTTCTTCTACAATAAACGTCCCGTGGAAGCTAGTGAGAAATTTACCCAAGCAAGACATGTGATGAAATTCTTCAAGCTTGAACCAGGAGAGTATCTCATTGTACCATCCACTTTCAATCCTAATGAGTCTGCAAAATTCATGCTGTCCATCTTCTTAAGGAGTGAAACCCACAGGAGAAATTAGAAACCTGTCATGACATTGTATGAGACCAATTAGTGGGACACCAGTTGAATGGAAAGAGACTAGTGCATTGATTTTATATTAGCTATTTTTTCTTTTTACTTTAGTGCAAAACATATTCAGTCCATGGTCATGTAATTTTACGTAAATATATAGATTTTGTACTTCAGTTCTGTTTTACAAATGAGTACAAAGCAGTTTCTCAAAATCATTGTTTAATGCATAGATCTAGACAGAATGTTGTGCATACAAACACTATGCTTCAGAATTGCAGATTTAAAGGAATATGCCAATGGAATTTTTGTCATTCGAGCCTAACAGCTCAAGTTTGTATTGTGCATTATAAAAATTGCTTAAAGAAAACAAACTTACATCTGAGTTGTACTTCATTTATGCTATCTCTTTTCATATTACTTTATCTAGTTTTAAGTTTTTTTAATTTTTATTTTAAGTTATTTTTTCTACTACTGCTATAACTGTCACATACTTTTATGTTGTTTTATGTTCATAAGAATTCCCATAAAGCCTAAATAATTTTCAAAGGACTCTACCTCAGACCACCTGATCATATCCCCTCTAAATAAACTACATATTAATTTAAAATAATACATAGACTGGGTTTGGTGGTTTATGGGCTCATATTAAGTCTCAGGTGTGAAAATGAGGATTGTGAAGAGATCAATAGCTTGAGTTTCTGTATTTTCTTGATCTCATATATAATTTATTAAGGACTAATCAGATGCAGTTTCTTTATTAATTACTTATTATATAAACATTGGCCTTTATTTCTAAGTTAATTCTAAAACCTTTGAGATTCAAACTGCTTTTATTTGCCTATATTGATTTTTTTTTCTATATGGAGTTTTATAGTTATAGTCTATATATAGTGGTGGAATTTACTGTTACGTAATTATATAACAATGGTGGGAGGAATTTGGAATCTCTTTTAGTTCGCGCAATAGTATACTTGTGCAGTGACATTCTATGCAGAACCAGTGTTGCCAGACGTACGATAATTATCGTATGTGTACGATAATTTTAACCGTTGTACGATGTACGATCAATAATTTAAAAAATCCCATAATGTACGATAATTTCAGAATTTTGTGACTCTTCAAATGATGGAAGTTGTAATCATAGGGTTTCTATACTCATCCACGAAAGCGGCTCATTACAGACTATAAATGCGCTTGTGCACACCTCAGAAAGAGTGTGTTAAGAATTCAGGAGGATGCCCTGCTTTTACCTCCTCAACATCTGGCAACCCGCAGGCTTCCGATGACAGAGACTCACAGGTTGTATCTATTGTGGTAATTTGCAGGTTGTGTCAAAAAGTTGTTGGTCTAGATAAATAGCTGCATTCTGTATGTTTGACTCATGTACGATAATTTTCTTCCAAATGTGATAATTTTGAGCTTCTGGTACGATACTTGGACATTTCCAATCTGGCAACACTGTGCAGAACAAAACACTGCACACTTCCTGAAAACATCATTCAGTCTGAGCACAGTTCCAGAGTCAGAGCAAAGAGAATAAGTTAAGTCTACTGGGAGAAGACTGCTCATTTAGGTGAGTTGTTACCCTTGAAGGTAAAGTATATTACTTATATCTTCAAAATTGAATGTATCCACTGATTAAGTCACTGAATAATTATCAAGATAAGTCTTTCAAAGGGATAAGATTACACTCCCAAACCAGTCAAACAAGTCCCTTATCTTTTAGGTCTTTGAAAACAAAACATAGCATAAGAGCTGTGACATCTCGCAGTCGTGTCACCTTTATCTGTTTTTCGTTGTAGTTTATCATTAGAAACAGACTTTTGCAACTGAAGAAAAAAAAATGCCTCCACCTCTTGTAAACAAGAAACCCAGGAATGAATCCACCGTAAAAGACAAAACAGGCACTCTCGACGACCCTTTGAAATTCTTGGATCAGGACTACCAGGAGCTGCGGAAGAGCTGTATCACCAATAAAAAGAGATTTGTTGATGACAAGTTCCTTCCAGACAGCAGCTCCATTGACCCAAAGAAGAAACTTGAACTGGATCTGGACCAAATCAAGTGGTTGAGGCCATCAGTAAGTTACCTGTATTGACTTTCCATCTTCAGACCTTCAGTAACTTGTTTGAAAGAATCATTGTCAAAGTATGGCCAAATGTCTCTGTAGGCTTGTCAGAACAGGTTCACCTGTCACATTTCCCAGCATTTCTGATTTACAATAGTGGAAAGATATCTCAAGTGTCTTGAAAGCAGACCCAACGTGTATTATATGAATCTAAATGTTTTTTTCTGGTATTCCTAAATCACTTGGCCAAATTTCATTGTATTTTCACTGTTTAGAAAATAGTAGCAGACCCTCAGCTTATTGTACAGGGGGTGTCCAGGTTTGACTATTCCCAAGGATCTTATTTAGGTATGTTTATTTATGTATTTCTATACATACTCCAGTAGGCATGTTATCTACCCTGTAAATGTCACTGCATATACCTTGAAATATCTATTTCTTTAATATTTGTGCCTTTACCTTAGGCAACTGCTGGTTTCTTGCTTCAGTTGGGGCTTTAACATTTAAGAAGGACGTCATGGACCAGGTCATGCCAGCTGACCAGTCATTTGGCAAAGATTATGCAGGGATATTTCACTTCAGGGTGAGTTCTTTGGTCTTTTACAGTATAACTGAATACGATTTAAAATTACATCAGTCCTTTAAGCCCAATGTTGTGCTTAATTTGTATAGTTCTGGCGGTTTGGGAAATGGACTGAAGTTGTCATTGATGACAAACTTCCAACAATCAATGGCGAACTCGTTTTTGTCCTTTCAAAAACATCTAATGAGTTTTGGCCTGCCTTACTGGAGAAAGCTTATGCCAAGTAGGTGCCAGTATGTTGTGGTAAAATAATTTTTCATATAGCATCAAAGTATGTTTGTTTATTGAACATGAAATGATTTCACCATGACTTTATGGCCTTTAGTAAATGTTTTTTTTTTATGTAACTTGATTTTAAAGCTGCCTTACAGATGGAAGTATTTATAATTTTACATTGTCACAAACATAAGTCATTTTATAATCCTCAAAAATTTCAGTATTCCAACAGCATGTTTGGTCCACTTTAGTATATACTTGATATGTAGAATGCTTTTTACAGGGTGTGCGGCTCCTATGCTGACATGCATGCTGGTTATGTGTCTGAGGCTCTGCTAGACTTCACCGGTGGCATCCATGTGTGCTTTGAACTAGAAAAACCTGCTATTGATTTGTGGAGCCTGATGGACCGTGCAGCCAAAACAAAGGCTCTGATGGCCTGTGGCTCCCATCAGGGGGTAAGCAGTGACCTAAGGCTTGATCTTACATTAACAGATATTATCATCTTGATCATCTAAAGCACTGTAATTGAAGCATTTTGTTAGGTTTTGCATTAAAGAGTTCAAAGTCTAACTAAATCTAAATGAATACAGTGAACATTTTTACAATGTATGATGTAGAGTACAATGTAGAGCATTAGTAATACATAAAACAATGCTTTTTTTAAAGGCATTAAGCTAAGTTACATGGCCGCGGTTTTATTTAATCTTTGCTTTATTTTATTAATGTGATATAATTTTGTATACACAATTCTAGCTTTTTTAAAAGCCATATTTTGATGTTTTCACAAAATGTCTTTCAAAAATGTGTTTAAGGTAAAATGTGTAAAAATTTAAATGTCAGTTTCTAGCTAGATAGATTCCTTTGACAATTCCATTTACAAAAGTCTAATCTAGTTGTATTGCAACGGCAGTCTTTTCTGAGTTTGTTCACCATAGAAACACCACTATTTTAACTGATAACTTAAAAGTTTTGTTTTAAAACATTTGACTTTTTATTGCATTCCCAAGTAGTGCCCTCAAGGCTCTGTTCTGGAACCTGTTTTCATTAAGCAAGAGGTTGCTTTTGAGTGGTAATACTCGTGTTCTATAATAAGTATAATCGTTCCATATTGACAGGCTTATAATATAAAAAAAGGTGTTTAGCAACAGACTCGCTTTGTTCTTCTTTTAATCATAGTTGTAATTGTGTAGACCAGTGTTTATTTACTGATTGCCTTCAGCTACAGATGAGCTCCACCCTTTGGTATGTCCTTTTTGTACTCATTCATGTGTATCTCTTACGTCAGGTCTGTGATTTTGCAAGAGTAGTTTCTTGAAATAATTTGTTGTCCTTTGATTTAACTCAAAGCATTGTGTGCAGGCAGTTCAGTCCTGCGGTAAAAGGTTATTTCATAATGATCCTGGTGAAATACCTATATGGCATATTCTGAGTTTAGGTGACATCCCACAGAATAAGTAGCAGCCCATGATAAGGGTTTAAAGAGTTCATAAGCATTTTGAATTAAAATCCAATGTCACTGTGTGACAGGTAACATGCCAAGGAAAACCGGTGAGGCTGGTGAGAGTGCTGAATCCGTGGGGAATGGGCGAGTGGAACGGTGCCTGGAGTGACAAGTAAGACTCACATGAAACTAAACTCACTAATCACAACATTGATCAAGTGACATTGTTTGTTTTTAACACCCATGATAAGGGTTTAAAGAGTTCATAAGCATTTTGAATTAAAATGCAATGTCACTGTGTGACAGGTAACATGCCAAGGAAAACCGGTGAGGCTGGTGAGAGTGCTGAATCCGTGGGGAATGGGCGAGTGGAACGGTGCCTGGAGTGACAAGTAAGACTCACATGAAACTAAACTCACTAATCACAACATTGATCAAGTGACATTGTTTGTTTGTAACACCTGGATAATTAATGATTATATGAATCAGAGGTTTGGGAGTTGTATTAGGTTTTTAGTATGCTAAACAACTTGAAGTTTGCTGGTTAGGCTACAAACAGTAGATCTTTAAAACTAAATATAGCTTACTATGATGGATTGTAACTGCTATACAGTACATCTTCATGTCCCTGTCATATATGAATTATATAGGATAAAATAAGAAGTATACAAATCCAAATTTCATATTAATTTCTTTTTCTATGACTTTCTTCACAATATCACAATTTTATAAGTGTAGATAATTCCACTACTTGGGGTTTTGTGTGGATGCTGCCATTTTTGGCATGTTACCATTCAAAATGTATTACAAAATATTCCAGGTGTTCCTTTTTATTTATTTAAACCAAATTCAAATTTTTTTTTTTCATGTAAGACCTGAAATTTGTTGTTACAACCAACCAACCAAGAAAAACCAATGTCACCAAGTTACATCACCAACGGTCACTGTCATTCATATCGTTGGAATTTGCCTACCATCATTAATTAAATTATGTTATGAACGAATGACCTTTTTGTCATCTTTTGTGGCAGGTTGCCTTGAGTCATTCTTTTGTAATAGCCTTTCCCTTTATCAAACAAAAGCTAGTTCAGTAGTGACACTTTTTGGTGGGGGAAAAAAAAAGCACGAAAGCACAAACATCGATTCGCAAAATAGTTTTTGCGCTGTGGTCTCTTTAAAATATTCCAGCTTGTTAAAATGACAAAATTCTATATGATAAGATTGTTTAAATGAAGCTCCAAACATAGTTTCAGGAGGAGCCTAATCATTCAGTCCTGTCAATCGTCATTTCAAGCGTACGTAAGCAGCAGTAACTGAGCCGTCCTAGCGACAATTCTTCCAGCATCCCTCCACCTCCCCATCTCCTCCTCTATTCCATTCTTTCTCTTTCTATGTAATACAGCTGAGGGGGTTAAAGGTAGGGTAGGCGATTTCAGACCAGCTAGCAATGGCAAAAGCATAAGATCCTATGCCCCCTGCAAATCACTCTCCAAAGCCATGCCTCCTCCAAAACACATGAATGCGCACAAGCAGACCAGAGGCTAACCATTGACACAATGAGAGATGGCATTGGTGGAGGGTTGAATGCAGTGCTGTCAGATTACCTCATGTCTCATTCACTGGTGAGAAAACATTCCAGTACGAAGCGCATAATATTACAGTAATAATGCCTTCCATCCTCGCTCTGTCTGCAATAGCGTAATGAAATGCGCTGATGACGTATCATGTCTGCGCAAACAGGATGCAGATGCAATTGCTAACTTAATTTTGCATGCTGTTTATTTCTGTGCCATTGAAAAGGCAGCTATAACCTTTTAGAAAAAATGCTACCATAAAATAAATAAATTATTTTATTTGCTATTCTTTACTCATTATTACTTATCATTTACTATTTGTTCATTTAGCGCAACCCCATGTCAAATTTTAATATGCTTTTGCACAACTTTCAGGTCATCGCTGTGGAACAAAGTGAGTGAAAAGGAGCGAACCCAGTGTCGTTCTTTGGCCAATGATGGCGAGTTCTGGTATGGCATTAACTGTAGTTTCAGATGTGACCTCTTGCTGCATGAAACATGAATCAAATAACACATATTTTACTGCAGGATGTCAATGGAGGACTTCACTAAAAACTTTGAAGAAATTGATATTTGCTGCCTCAGTCCTGATTTTCTGGACAGCTCTTCTAAATGCAGCTGGACAACAACACGCTACAATGGCAGTTGGGAATCTGGGACTACAGCGGGTGGCTGCATCAATAATAAAGGTAGCTCATATACTGTATGCATAGAGAGAGAGAGGCAAGTGATCATTTCATACAATTGCATATAACACAAATACTTTATTAATACAAATATTAGATACAGCATGCATATGCAGCATGAAATATTACCAGGTACCACAAACTAAAATTACAACTTGTTCGTTTGTATTGACTGTGCTTTTGGGTGTCTACATACGTTTGGCCATATGGTGTGTGCGTGTGTGTTCATCCTGTATATATGTATACTGTATGTACCACAAAGGTCTGATTCAATGGATGTCTTGTAGACTCTTTCTGGACAAACCCTCAGTTTCGGGTGAGGATTGAGGAGCTCGATGAGGAATGTGCTAGTGGCCAGTGTCCTGAAAACATACTGGTGTCCCTCATGCAGATCCATGAGAACAGATACAGAAGTCTTGTTTCTAATTACTCCATTGGCTTCAGTGTTTATCTGGTCAGTATTAACAATAACTCTACTGGACTCACAGAAAATCTCACTGAATACAGTCATTTTGGTTTCCACCTATTAATGGTGTGTTTCATGTTTTTCTACTTTGACAGATACCACCAGAGGCAAGTAAAATACAATTCAAGCTCAGTAGTATTAAACCCTGTAACCACATCTGTTTTGCTTTGTAAGTAAATAAATTACTTGATATTTATAATATTTCATTCTTTAGATGAAAGATGAAAAGTTTCCTGCCAAGTTCTTCTACCACAGACGTTCTGTGGAAGATAGTGGGAACTTCATCGATACAAGACATGTGATGAAATTCTTCAAGCTTGAACCAGGAGAGTATCTCATTGTACCCACTACTTTCAATTCTAAAGAGTCTGCAAAATTCATGCTGTCCATCTTCACAAAGTCTGAATCCCACAAGAGAAAAAAGAAACCTGCAATGACACGTGTATGAGGTTATAAATAAGTGTCTTGCTCAAATAGCAATGTAACAGTTCATGGTCTGTTCACCCTCATTGGAACCTACTACCTTTACCAGTTTACCCATCTAGATTTTTCACCTCTGTAACCACTCAAATGGGATTTGGAGTAACCAAGCTGGTTATACTCTTTTTCTTCTACATCCCTTCTGTACTATATTTTGTTCATCAGTGAGCTGTGAAATTAATGTTATTAGTTACTTAGTTGCTTATCTGTTAGGTTTTTGATGTTCTGTCATGCTGTAACTTTGTGTATGGGTCAAGTCAGACATAAAGAAACCTTGTCAACAGCCATTTCAGTATGTATGTAACCAATCAGAAGGTCATGTTTGCAAAATTGTAAAAAAAAAAGAAAATACTACATATGTTACTCAACGGTCAAATTAAAGTCAGTATGTTCTCAAGTGGTACACTACCAAAGAATAATAAAAATATAAATTTAAACGTTAATTCACCGGCTATTTTTACGTTTTTGAATGTGTGATTTCAATTTCATTTTTGTTATATAAGCTGCTCGCTTCATATGCCGAAACAGGCTATAGCCTACAAACGTTCTCTGCAAAAAGCGAACAACAACAAAGTCTGTGAACTTGATTTTCTGAAGGCAAACATCCCTGTTGAAAAAAAACAGCATACGCTGGTTGGGTATGTTTTGACGCTGGGATGCTGGTCCTTTTGCTGGTTTGTGCTGGTCCTTTTGCTGGCAAAGGACCAGCACAAACCAGCAAAAGGACCAGCTTAAACCAGCATCCCAGCGTCAAAACATACCCAACCAGCGTATGCTGTTTTTTTTCAACAGGGATGTTTGCCTTCAGAAAATCAAGTTCACAGACATATCGATAATGAAACCAGACAGATGACGACGACTCACGGGAGAAGTTTGTACAAACTATAGTGTTCCAAATCCAATTATTTATTGAATATTATTGGTGTTTTACTTATTGGTGTAGTTACTTTCTTACACTAGAGGGCAGTCGTTTACTAAATAATTAATGGACGCCGCAACACAGAAACGTGAGAGCACAATGAATGTCGTTTACATCTAGTACTGAGATCAGTCTCTTGTGATCCAGTCACAAGCAGTCAGCTGTGTACACCTGTAACATGAGTCTCAATGCGTCTCCTTGGTTGACCAGGTACGAGTCTGATTTCAGAGGAGCATAATGGTTTTGTACCAAAATCATCACAGAATCAAAGTGTTTCCAGGGGTTCAGAGATTGGCTGGTTATTATTGGTATGCAGTACAAACCTGTTCACTGTCCTGAAGAGTTAAGCTCCAACACTTATTAATTCCACATGAACCAAAGGAATCGAGGTCTTCGGACTCACTGGAAACATCCAGGCTAGTGGTGGAGCTGGTTGGAACTACTCTGCAGGATATTGGCCCTCCTGGAGCAGGATTGAACACTTCTTAAATGCAGCATTGATGGCAAAAAAGCATGTCTTCCCATTAACACAGTTCAGAAGTCGTTTACGCTGACTAAATTAATAATTAAAAAAATACAGTATTTCATTATATTATAGTAGATAAGTACCATCAATAGATTTTTTTGTTTTTTTGGAAGGGCTTGAAATAGACATATTTATGATCACAAAACATTTTGGGCTTTGTTACCTTTTGTCCACTTTTGCATTCCCTCATACGGACCCAAGTGTAAAACCAGGTGTAAATGGGGTGTTAGAAGGACCAATAGATACTATTTAAAGTGATTGTTACATTTTTTTTTAAATATTAAGGTATTATTAGAAATTAAATTGTATAATATGGAGTAATATTTTCTAGTCAAGCGGATGGTGTAAGGAGGGTATGTAAACACTAGATAACGTTTTATAGATGCATGAGCCTCTTACTATAATCACAATGTGTGTA